TTTATTTAATCAAGGTATCAAAATGAAATGGAAAGTTATCTTTGGTGTATTTTATACATAGTTGGTTATGAAATGGGGAAAGAAAGAGAAATTTGCAATCTTTGTAGCTCTGTTTACGATCATTGTTGGGAACATTTATCAGTCTGTCATTGAGCTTAGCAGGCATGGCCACAGCAACATTCCTTCCTTCTGTTAGTTTTTAGAGTCCACAAAAGTTTCTTCCAGTTTTTTCTTTTAGGCATACAAGTATGTATGAGGCTTTGGCCATCTCCTATTCCTGGGGAGCATTTGATACTGGTTAGAATTCTTAGTGACCATGACCTCAATTTGAGATGATCAGAGACATCCCTTATGGATATTACATTTGGAAAAACATCTGTATTAACTGCTGTTGGTTATTTAAACACAGCTACAGTACCTTGAATCCCCCTAGTGTCTGTTAGAGTCTTAAAGCAAGACTTGAAAGAGTGTGCAACGACTTTGTTCCTCTCACTAAACAAAACAATTGAGATCCCTGTAAGCGTGGCTCTTCTAACAGAAGGCTAGCTTTATAAAGTAATTCCAATAGCTACAGTATATGAAACAGAACAAATCCAGCTAGATTCTCTTTTAATTTAATCAAGGTATCAAAATGAAATGTAAAGTTATCTGCCCCAGTGCAGGCAGATGGCAGGTAGGTGGCATCTGAGTCTTTAACTCATCTGAAAAGCAATGAGATCTTGTGACAATGCTTTCTATTGATGGTGGCTAGGTATACGGATGATGTAAAACCTTAGGAATAGCAGAAATAGTTTTCGTAATCTTTTGCCTTAATTGGTGAGTGAAGGCACATCTCAACCTTTGACTCTCCCTTTCATTATTATCCTGTATGCACAAGTCCAACTCTTACCACCATGCTGCCCCCATCCCTTGGTTCTTTATCTGGTGGCACTGGCTCCCTAGGTCAAGGGCCTAGACCGTGAGATCTAGATGAGATATGATACAGAAGCAAGCTTTTCTACCCGCATAGAAATAGGTTTTCCTACACAGCAAAACAGAGTCTCTGGCTTTTGTGTTGTCTAGAGACTTTGACTTCAAAGTGAAAGCTTCTCAGGACTGTTGACTGTCCTTCCTAAGAAAAACCGTTCTCCTTGGCTCCTCCCACTGCTGTGTTTACCCAGGTCCAAACCAGGGCTTAAGGAAGCATTAAACTACCTGTAAAGCTTGGGCTGTGAATGCCAAGAAAGAAATGTCTTCTCGCCTGCTCCCCTTCCTGTTAGCTCTTTATTCTAAACATTATAATGCTGTTCTGTACTTACGCTGAATCTCAAGCAATCTATAAGAGACTTTCAAACTATTACCCTTTCAGGAACAAAAATGAATGGAACCCAAGTTAGAAAAACAAAACATCACAAGGCCAACCCAGTCTCACCAGACAAATAGAGGTGGTCTAGTAGATTTTAACATGTATGAACTTATTGTGTGATGTGTTATATAAAACCAAGGATATATTTTGTAGAGTGTGATATGGTGTAGTGGGAAGGGGTGCCTCAGCAGGCCCATGCTGAGGCTTACCCAGCCCCAGGTACCAGCCGTAAGATGAACAGATGTAGCATAGAATAGAGTTTATATGGGGGCAAGGAAAGGGGAGTTGATGAGGAAGAAGGGAGGAGAGAGGGAGAGGGGGGAGGGGGAAGGAGGCCAGCCAGGAACACATGGAGAGAAGGGGAAGGGAAAGGGCAGAGAGAAAAAGGGCAGAGAGTGAGAGAGGGAGGGAGAGGCCAAACAGTCCCTTTTATAGCAAACCAGGCTACCTGGCTGTTGCTAGGTAACTGTTGGGCGGAGCCTAGAAGGAATGCCAACACTGTGTCCAAGAGTTCACTTTGCATTTGCCTATTAAATTGTTATTTTACCAACAAAGAAGGCATAGCTCCCATATTTTCATATTTCATATTTTCAGATAAATCATAAGCATACTGCTCACATGCAAATTTCTAGAACCTCTTTAGGTGCCAAGATTTTAAGAGACAAATGTGTGTTCTTGTTTGAGCATACAGTGGCAGGCAGGGCCACCGTGGACTAAAACAGGGGTGGGAGTCTCCATTGGAGCTGGATGTTGAAGGAAATTGGATCAAGTGTTTCAGCAAGAGAAATTATATGTTTGAAGTAGAAGGGATTCAGGAGGCAGCCTTATAAAACAGAAGTTGGAACATTTTTCTTGATTGAAAAAAGGCCCAACCAGGAGGCCCCTGATTGACAACCTCAGACTCTAGGCAAGCAGTGCTAAGGATACTGGTAGAGAGGGCATACAAATGCAACTTCACTGCAGACTGCGTGCTGAGAACTGCTCCAGAGAGAAAGGCCGAGACTTCTCCTCTTGGCCTTGTGGCCGAGATAGAGATAGCGATAGCTGGCAGTCACTGACACTGACTGGGCCACGAGCGATTTCCCTAAGTAAGGTTATTTAACTCTCATAGCCCTTGGCTGGTGTGCCTATAGATACAAGAGCCATGTAAGCCTCAGGGAGACCTGTAATGTGCTCAGCCAGCTTAGTCAGGATTTTGGCCCAAGCCTGTAGCTCCCTACCTCACCCATGCTGTGTGTGTTAGTGAAGCTAGGCTGTCTGTCCTAAGTTACTGTCATTGTTTGAAAACATACAAGTTATTTACTAAACATCATCACCTTCAAAACATGGACACACACACACATACACTTTATATGAAAAGTACTTTAGTTTCTCACTGAACTGAGTAAGTTATTTTTCTTACAGTTCTAATAAAAATTTCCAACAACCAATGGATATTTCATAATAAATATTAAGAAACACAGGAGCTGAGGAACTGGCTTAATGAGTAAAGACCACTTCCTCTGTATAAGCATGAGGGCCTCAGTTCAAATCCCTAGTACCTCTGTAGGCTGGACATGTCCCTGTGTGCCTTGAACCCCACTGCTGGTGAGCAGGGACAGATTGATCTCAGGAACTTGGTGGCCAGCCAATCTGGTAAGCTTGAGATTTATTGAGACTGTCAAGAGAAAAGCAGAGAGTGATAGTGGGAGCTGCCCAGCAGCCCACTGTGGCCTCCATATGCATGCACATCCTCATACGTGTACATCATACACAGATACACTGTGTAGGAAGGAGAAGGGCGAGTGTGGGGCTGTAGGTTGCGCATGGGCATGGGTCCTGTTGGGCTGAGTTGTGGGTCCTGTGTGTGTCTGCCGCCCCAGGCGGCTCTGGGGCAGAAGTGTGGCTGGGCTTGGGAAGCCACAGAGTTCCACTCTGGGCACTGGGAGATCCCAGTCTAAGGTCCCGCGGGGGCAGAGCTCTTGGATTTGGGGTGGGGGGATGTCTCTGGGCCGAGGCGTCTGGCCCTTGGGTACCCAGGCGCCACTGGGAGACTTCAGAAGGACTGAGATGGGGAGCAGGGGGAATGGATACAGGCTGGACTGGCCCACAGCTGAGAAGGACTAGGGAGAGAAGCTCCGGTGATGCCCCGTGGGGTAGATGAGACTCTTGGTTCAAGCGACTCACACTACAGCCCCACAGGCTAGGACGTTCAGAACAGACACATTCAAAGATCAAATGTAAAACTGGTGCAGAATGAGGGATAGAAGCTACCATTCCCACAGAGCTGCAGTCTGGCCAAGGGTTTGAGCAGTACTGTAGGGTGCCAGTAACTGTGATTAAATAGGGTTTGGGTGAAGGGTGAATGCCAGAGGAATTTTTGAGATAAATGAAATCTGAACATAATTTTCAGCCAAGGCTACACAGAGAAAACCCTGTCTCAAAAAAGGAAAAAACAAAAAACAACAACAAAAAAGACACTTTTATGTTTGATCATGGTAGATAATAGCAGCAGTCACAGATAGCAGCGACAGTGCTTGCCCTTGGGCAGACACCAGGCTTCTGGGCCCCTGCGTCAGGGTTCAGTTGAATGGTGTCCACTGTGTTCTGCAGGTCTTACAGCGCACTGACTCTCTAACCTCGAAGGCTCTTACTCATTAGTTCAGTGCCAAGCCAAAATAAAGTAAGCCTGGCCCCTCCTTGGCATTCCTCCTTGACCACTGTACCACATCAGTTCTTGTTATCCTTTTACACAGCTCTCTCCTTTGGCCTGCCTCGTCTTCCTGGTCTGTCATAACAGACACACTGCTCTTGCCCCACTACCCCAGGATCATAATTGCTTAAAATCTGTGGCTACCATCTACAACATAGTGTACAGGATGGCCTGTCCTATATCATGTGCCCAGCCTGTTTTTAATGTCCCACTCCAAGTGTTCAACCGTGTCCATCTACAGAACGGGCTCCTTCCCTCCCCCATCCCCTATATCCCCAAGGGACAGTTTGGGACTTTGTGCGTCCTTGTTTCCCTATGTTGAGAACATTTTGAAGGACACTGGAACCTTGTTGGCTGTTTCTTCATCACTAGCATCTGGCTTGTGACTTAAAAAACAACCTTTTCTAAATACCTGTGCACAGTGGTGTTTCGGGTCAGAATCAAACTTGTTATGCTTGATATATATTAGAAAAAACTGTGTCTGATCATTTCTTCACATTTGTTTCTTTCTGAGGGTTTTTCGCAGCAGTTACTGTGGTCATTTTAAGGTAGAAGAGAGCGCATTTCTATTGCCTTTGTAGAGAAAAATGTGTTAATAGACTGTGTCTGTGTAACACGTCTTGTGGCTGAAGGCTGGGCTGTATCCTTTATCTCCTACCTCAGATCCATCTCACTGTGTGTATTCCTGCAGTTCTAGAATGCAGATTACCATTTCTGGGAATGAAGACAATTTCATTTTAAAGGGCTTTGAGGTAATTATCAAACAGGAAAAAAAGCTAAAAATGGCTGGTAAATATTGATCTAAGTACCCAGAAACCCTGGTATTTTTAGCCCTTGTTTGTTCATGGTGGCTCACTCTGTCCTGACTCTTGCTTCTCGAGACTCTGCCTTGCAGAGTGAATCAGCACCACCCCCCATTGACTGTTGCTAAAGCACAGCTGTTTTCATCTTTCCAAAACCTAGGTAAGAACCTGGATGCTGTTCACGACATCACTGTGGCATATCCTTACAACATTCCTCAGACTGAGAAACACCTTCTTCTTGGATACTTTCCCAAAGAGATCCACTTCCACGTCCATAGGTATCCAGTCGACACTCTTCCCACATCCAAGGAGGACCTTCAGCTCTGGTGCCACAAGAGGTGGGAAGAAAAGGAAGAGAGGCTTCGGTCCTTCTACCAAGGAGAAAAAAACTTTCACTTTACTGGGCAGAGCACAGTTCCACCTTGCAAGTCTGCTCTCAGAGTCCTTGTGGTCAAGCTGCTGTCTATACTGTACTGGACCGTGTTCTGCTCTGCAGCGTGCCTCCTCATATATTTGTACAGCCCTGTTCGGTGGTATTTTATAATCAGCATTGTGTTCTTCGTGCTGCAGGAGAGAATATTTGGTGGACTGGAAATCATTGAACTTGCATGTTACCGTTTTTTACACAAGCACCCACATTTAAATTCAAAGAAAAATGAGTAAGACAGTGTGGCGTTCACCATGTGAAAACCTAGTGTTGTCACAGGAATGTTACAGTCTTCGTAAACTGAGATAAGTTTTGCATGACTATGTCAAATGTTTCTTACTATGATTCTTTGTTAAAGATATTTTGCACTTAAATTTGTGGGGGAAATATTGCTATGGTTTCTTTAAAATCTCTGAATGTAATTCCAATGCTGCGTATGTAGCAGGGTCAATCGCTGTGACTATCTAGGGCCATAGTATTAGAAACAATCACCAAGCTGTTGAGGCAAGATGGAAGCTTTTCTGAAAGGACCAACCTGTTTCTGACAGACTCTCAGCTCAGAGGCAGCCCTGGCGCCATAAGCACGAGCCCCAGCCCCAGTGTATCTAAGCAGGTAGGAGACTACCTCCCCACGGGGCACAGTCCATTCTTCAATTCTTTTACACCATTCCAACCCAAAGGAGGAATTGTCTTGTCCTAAGCTGATCACTATTGATAGGGAGTCCTTCGTCACTCTTAGTCTCTTGTGCTGAATGAGACAGAAAAAGAACCCCTTCCTCACTGGAAATCACATCCGCACTCAGCTCATGGCGCACCTTCAGGCTCTCCATTTGGCTTTTAAAAGATAGAAACTGGTGCAGCTTGCTTCCAACTCACACTCAGTCCTGCCTTCCTGATGGTTACCAGGTGTCACTTCGTCTTTAGCATGTACTGGTACACGTAAAGGTACCAGTACAGAAGAACATCTGTATTTCAGACCGAAACTGGAAGGCAGGTGTCTGTCCTTTGCATGCAGGGTGTCTACCTTCTGCCATTAGAGCCACATCAAACATGCCTGCAGACAGGATGGTTTAGCTAAAGCTCCCACTCTTAAAACCAAAAATGCTAACTCAGAATGAACTCTTCCAGTGATAGCAAGGACACACTCTCTCTTTATAGTCATCTCCCACAGTTACATTTAAACAGATACTGACCAACTGTCTGCCAAACATGCCTCTCATTTGGAAGCAGTGGAAGCATATGGAACTAGTAGCACTCAGTGTCCTGAGTAAGAGACGCCACTGAACTGCACACTCATATCTATGTCATGTGATTAGTGCAGGGACAGAGGCACATAAGCTTTGGGGGGGGGGCCGGCCCGTGTCCTGCAGTCTCAACAGCTATTACTGCCCTGTGTACTCAGTCAGGAATCCACCCTTCCTAATGATGGCAGTGCACATCTGTACCTGGTAGGGACTTGCTCAGCTTGCCACGCACACTGTCTGAGAAAGCCCTTCTGGGGACAGGACACTATTAGCATATCATGGTTAAGTCTGTTTTTGTTTGTTTGTTTTGTTTTTTTGGTGTTTGTGCCCCTGTATTGGGAGAATGCTAACTGGAGAAACACAGCAGCCCATGTTCAACTGCTCCATCAAAGCTCATTTTATTCCTGATGGGAACTTACTAGTTAGTAGCCATGCATACTTGTTCTCAACATAACTGTTTGACTTTATAGTTTTTAAGGTCAAACACACACACACACACACACACACACACACACAAGTACAACCCCTCCCCACTTTTTTTCTTTCCCTTAATGAGAAAGGCATCAAATTTTAAGTTTCTCTGAGATTTCCATGGATCACATTTAAATGTGGAAATAGCTAGCAATCAGAATTTCATTTGTTCTGCAGATAAAAGGGAAATGCTGTTAGCTTTGCCCACAGAGGTTGGGCTTGGTTAACAGTACGGTCCATCTCATTGTGCATACTCAGACTGTCTCTTGTTCTTCCCTTCGCCCTCTTCTGATCATAGAAAACATTAAGGTAGAAAATACCTTAATTTTACTTTATCTAGCCCAAATTCATATTACTAAGTATAGCACTAAAATTAGAGGATGTGGATACTCTACTTGCTTTAAAAAGGGAAAATATTCTTTTAAATAAAAGTTTTAAAATTATAATTATTTGCTCTTACATGTTTAACTGTGTTAAAAATTGTTTATTTAATTTAAAAAATACATATATAGCTAATACTTTTAAGCTTAGAACTGCTTTAAGTCAATACTTGAACATCAAGTCTAAGCAGATGTGGCTTTGATGGTTGTCAGCCTAAGGAAGGCCCTTGCCACACCCTCAGCCAGGGCTCAGCAGCTGCAGTCCTGCTCCAGCATCCTCCACAGCGTGTTCTAACGATGATGACTCCACACGCAGACATTAGTACCCAAGTCTGAATTCTGCAGATAGGTTCCCATTTCACCACCTCTCAAGCCCAACAACGATGCTCTAGTACAGTCACGATAAAGACTAGCAGAGGGAGCCTATTGGTGTTAAATTGTTTACATTTCTTTATATAAAATAATGTGCTTTCAGTGCCTTAGTTATGGACCCTTTTCTTTTTCCTGTTATAAGAATTCTATACCATATTCGTAGATAAAGTCTCTCCTTGTCACTCACTAGGAGGAAAGTGGTGTTTCAACACCAGTCAGTGGTTGATAGAAACAAAACAAAATGCTATGTTGTAATATGGAGAAGAGAGCTCGGTGCTGAGCTAGTGGCTGCCTAGAGTTCTTACACTATGGAAGACAATTGCTTGGCCACACAATGAACTTCAGACTACACGTGGCCCTAAAGATGTCTTAAAATTTTTACTTCAGAGTCTTGGTTTTGGTAACTCATTTTTAAAAGATCATTACATGGAGAACACCAAGTTTTAAAAATTAACTCACAGAATGGCCTTAGCTTCAGTGTCCACTGGGATGTTTATGAATTACCTGTAATACGCATCCAGAATAAAGTGGAATGAATTACCTGGTTCAAAAGCTGTTGTGGTTCTGTGTTGATGTTAATATTTAATAAAAGGGGCTGCACTGGCCGACCATCTAAGCAGCGGCGGCTCTGCTTGGCTCAGGCCACCATGTTCCACAGCCAGAGGCCACGTGCGCACCGCAGCTAGGAACAGCCAGCCAGAAACACCGGCCCTGCCACCCAAGAGACACCAGCATGGGAGATGGCTCTGCCAATCTTTCATGCTGTCTCCACAAGGTTGGGCTGAGCCCAGACCATCCTGCCATCCACACGGTACCCAGTAGGAATTAGACTCTAATGCTTAATGATTAACCAAAAACTTTATCTATTTGGTAATGCTCAATAAACAAGATGCTCACATAATTAGAGGTGTTTCCCAATTAACTATCCTAGATATAAGTTGTTACCCAGCACTGCTCCTGATACAAGCGTGGTTCTCCATCCTCCTCCATCTCTGTCTCCAGCTTCTCCCTTCTCCTCTTCCTCTCTTTCCTCCTCCCCTTCCTCTCCTTACTCCTCCCACCTTAGCTCCTACAGGAACAACAGAGTAAATGTCACAGGGCTGTTCCCCACGTTGTCAGGGGCTTAGCCTATGCCATTGTGTTAAGGAGGAATTGAGGATTAGGACAGGTATATGCAGTGTTCACTGAGATGGGGAGGCACAATGCAGTTGAGTTCATGCCCCAGTGTCAACAGAACCTGTTTTTCCCATGACAGTTGTCCATTCCATAAATGTGGGACACAGGCGCTTATAGAAGAAGATAAGGACTCCATGTTGCATCCCTCACTTCACTGGGCGTATGACTCTGAAAGCAAGTCTTCAACCAAAATGTAACAGATGTTCAAAGAACTTCATTGGCTAAAAGGACACAGCTTCAGGGAACCTATTGTAAGTTCAAGTGCCCATTCTGCCTCTGGTTCCCCAGTGAGCACTGTGTGTGCAAGCCCTGGTGTTCCCTGACTGTCAGCCTGGCTCTGAGGGTGTTGGTCCCAAGGAGTGGGACTCGAAAAGAGCATGCATTGAGCAGTCCCTCCTCATTCCCAGCTTCACCCATTTTACTGACCCTCAAATGCCAACCATGGACATAGAAACTGCCTCTAGAGTACATTCTAAACACGAAATACAAAGACACTTGAGAAACCCTTTGTGTTTTGCCTGGGTAGACTTCACACAGGATCCACATGGCAACATGACACATAGATCCTCAGGGTTTAAGTCTCATAAGAAAGAAGGAGAGAGGCTGCCTTCTTAGGGGCAAACAACACTAAATCCAGGGCTCATTCCTGGACCAGTCAGCCAGAAATATGCTGTGGATCACTCCCTCTAGTTACAAGACAAGTCTGGGGATAGGACACATTCTCCTGAACTACCAGCACTGGGGACTGGAGGGAGATGCATTTTAAGGCAAAATCAGAGAATCTGATTTATGAGAATAGCATATTTGTGATGGGTGGTCCAGTGACCACAAATGTTCACTCTACCTGTTCAGCATCTTAAATCTTCAATGCTCTCAGGCCCAGCACAGGGAGACAGTGAGAAGTTTCACAGCATTCTGTGTCAGCAGTGGATGTTTAGAAAGCCAAAGATTCCCTAGAGCTGTATTTGTGGAATCTCATCAACCTGTGATGGTCATGGTGGCTCATGTTTATAATCCCACCACTTGCGAAGCTGAGGCAGGAGGATCACAAGGTTGAGACTAGCCTGAGCCACATAATGGATTCAGAGTCAACTTGTACTACATAGCAAGGCACTGTTGCAAAAGGGAGGAGGTTTAGAGGGGCCGGGGAAGAGACAGGACGGTTCCATCAGTAAACTGCTTGATTAGCCACCATGCGCATGTGAATTCAATCCCCAGCACCCACATTTAAAAAAAAAATAAGAGCCAGGTATGAGCCCCCCTCTAGTAATGCAAGCTCCCAGCATACTGTATTTCCTTTCAGAATAGCCTTTTCTTGTGCTTATCATTCCACACAGGGAACCTGAGCAAGCCTGGCCAGGTTCTCTCCACATCAGTCTCAGCTTACAGAACTCACTGACCTCAACACACCACTATTTAAATCAGTCCCCAGCGCTTCTTAATGGCTGTTGCACAGAGCCGGACTCCTCCACCTAGCCCAGGTCCTTCTAACTGGTGCCTCCTTGTTCACAGGCCTTTTCTGCCCTGTAGAGCCTTTCAGATGGGCATGGGTGCTCAAGCCTCGCTGAGTCCCTGGACCTCATCATCTATCTCTGTGCCTGTGCTCCCCTAACCCAAGTCTTAGCAAATTTCATTTATTCCGCGAAATCGTCCCACTCAATCTAACTGGAAGCGTCTCCCCCTCTCTCTCCATGGGAAGTCTTTCCCAGCAGCACTTTCGTCACTGGATCACAGGCTATCTTGG